ACGCCCTGCACCATCCAGCCCAGCCCTGCCTGTGCCGCCCGCGCAGGAGGTGGAGTTCCCCAGCCTGCGGGAGGCGCTGTCCTTCGTCTCCCTCCTGGACGGCTACTACCGGCTGACGGCGGACGCCCACCACTACTTCTGCAAGGAGGTGGCCCCCCCCCGGCTTCTGGAGGACTTGGAGAACCGGTGCCACAGGCCCATCAGGTGGGCACCCCGACCAGGCAAACGTCCCCCCCCTTCGTGGCAGTGCCTGGGGCTCTAGGGGAGGCAGGGGTTAAAAACACCCCAGCAGGGGCAGTTTGGGTAGGGTCTACACAAAACATGGCCTGCAGCACCCTGTGCTGGCGCTGCTGGGTACTGCACCCACCCTAATACACCCCCCCCCAAAACCAGCCAGGCTGGCAGAGGGCCGGCCAGGCAGGGCTCCTGGGTTCCCAGGCCCCCGGGCTGTGGGGTCCCAGCTCTGCACGGCACCGTGGCCAGGTGTGCCACTGCGCGGCCGGACTGCCGGGCTCCCGTCTTGCCTCCACCAATGAGCGCCTCCTTACCTGGCACTGTGAATACCTGCAAGGGGCTCCCATCCAAGAGACGAGAAGCCAAAGGGCACGGGGGTCCCTGCAAGGGCAGTCACGGAAGAGGGAGGCAATTCTGCAGGGCCTTTGCCAACCAGCTCGCCCCTCACGTGGGTCAGGGCTGAGGCCGAGACCCTGGGGCTGGGACCCACCGGCCCCGACACCGTCCTGGCTTTTGCAGCTCGGAGTTTGCGGTGCACAAGCTGAAGGCGGCAGGGAGCAGCCCGGGGCTCTACCTCCTGCGCCGCAGCCCCCAGGACTTCGACAGCTACCTGCTGACGGTCTGCGTGGAGGTAGGCTGGCTCCTGCTTCCCAGGGGGTGGACACGGCGCTCCCAGCTTCCCAGTGGCCGTCTGTGCTGGAAAGGGTCCGGTGGAGCTGGGAGAGAAGCCTCGGGGCTGGCGTTCGGTGCTGGTTTGCACTGCGGGGCGCTTGGCCCATGCAGCCGCCCATGCCCAGCCCCTTGGCTCGCTGGATGGGGACCCCAAGCCCTCTCTCGTGCTCTCCCGGTGCAGACGGCATTGGGGATAGACTACAAGCGCTGCCTGATCCGGAAGGACCCAGACGGCAGCTACGGGCTCTCCGGGGTGGCGCGGCGCCTCGGCAGCCTGCGGGAGCTGCTGGGCACCTACCAGCAGTGCAGCCTGCAGGCCGACGGCGTGGCCATGCGCCTGGCCGATTGCTGCCCTCCACGGCCCAAAGGTACGGGGTTAAGCCGGGCACACTGAGACCTCCGTCGTGCCCCATGGCAGGCACCGTCTGCCGAGGCCCCCGGGAGCTTTGCCCAGCCCAGCTCCTCATTAGGGAGCCTCTGACAATCACCTGCTCATCCCCCCTCCATGCTCACCCCTAGAAAAGTCCAACCTGCTGATCGTGCGGGGGGGCTGCTCCCCGCTGCCCGGCTCCCCCTCCGCCCCGCGCCGCATCCCCAACCAGATGACCTTCCACAAGATCCGGCTGGAGAACCTGACCTGGGTAGGGGGACGGGGAGAGCTGGGGGCCTGGCCGGGCTGGGCCCGGAGGACGCACGGGGTCGTCCTGGGCCAGGGGAGGAAGGGGCTGGGGGTTTCTGCCCCCACCCAGCGGCCCGTCACTCCCTGCAGGGCGAGAGCCTGGGCCAGGGCTCCTTCACGCGGATCTACCAGGGCATCCAGCGGGACCAGGAGGGCGGCGAGGAGCACCAGACCGAGGTCTTGCTCAAAGTGCTGGACAGCGGCCAGCGCAACTGCTCCGCGGTGAGACCCTGTGCCGGGCTGGGCCGCCCCACAGCCCAGCCTTAGCCTTCCTTCCCCACCCCAGTGCCCGGCCCCTGCGGAGCCTCTGAGAGCAGCCAGTCCCCACTGGGGTTCGGGGTGCCCTCCCTTCCCTGCCCCCAGGACCCAGGTGGGACGCGGGTGCTTGGAAGGGCATCGGCCCTGCCTAACCCACTCGCCCCCGCCCAGTCCTTCCTCGAAGCCGCCAGCGTCATGAGCCAGGTCTCACACAAGCACCTCGTCCTGCTGCACGGGGTCAGCATCGGGAAGGACAGTGAGTATCGCTCCCCCCCGGGTCACAGGCACCATAGGCAGGACGGTGCAAAGCTCAGCCCCACGCCTGCAGGGACCCCAGTTCCTGCCCTGTGCCAGGTGCGGGGAGGCCGGGGCTGGGCTGTCCGGCTTCGCCATGCTGCAGAAGGGGTGCAGTCAGGACGCCCCACTTGGGTGCAGTTGCGGGGAAGGTGATGGGGAGCGTGGACTCCTGGCTTCGGTCCCCAGTCCCAGAGCCAGGAAGCAGCCCCCTGCCAGGGGGGCTCCACGAGGGTTTCTAACCCCATGGGGCAGTCAGGGGCAGGGGAGGGGGTGCACAGCCCTGCCCGGCCCCAGCCCCAAACGCTCCTGCAGGCGTCATGGTGCAGGAGTACGTGCGGCACGGCGCCCTCGACACCTACCTGCGCCGCGGCCAGGCCGAGGGCAAGGTGACCACCAGCTGGAAGCTGCAAGTGGCCAAGCAGCTGGCCTACGCCCTCAACTTCCTGGTGAGTCCCTGGAAGGAGCCGTGCATGCCTGAGGGCACGTACACACGTGCGTGCACACGTGTACAGCCCCTTGCTTGTGCATGCCCACACGCGCACGCCCCAGTGCAGCCCGCAGGCTCTGGGCTCACAGCTGGCAAGCTCCCCTGGGACGTGCAGCTGACCCCCCGCTCCCTGCCCCCCAGGAGGACAAGAAGATCGTCCACGGCAACGTCTCGGCTAAGAAAGTGCTGCTGGCGCGGGAGGGGGACGCGGCTGGCGGGAGCCCCCCCTTCATCAAGCTCAGCGACCCGGGGGTCAGCATCACCGTGCTGGCCCCAGAGCGTGAGTGCCCAGCCGGGGGGTGGGGGCTGGTCTATCCCTGCCCCAGCAAGGGGGGGCACCCTTTAGGGCTGTGCATAGGAAGACCCCCTTCCCCCCCTCCCCGCACACTGCTCTCCCCTGGGGGAGACTCCCCCCGAGGGACACGGCTGAACCCCTGGAGCGTGCTCCCCCTCTCCTACGAGGCAGCACTCCAGGGGGATGAAGGGACAAGCCCAAGGCCCTACGGGGAGGCAGTGGCGGAGCCAGGCTTGGACGCCCGGACTCCCTGGTCCCAAGCGAGTGCTGTAACCACTAGACCGTCCTGCCTCCCTCGCGGGGCCCGCTGGCCCAGACAGACCTCCCCACCCTGCAGGGAGCAGGAGGACAAAACGGGGGCACGCACCGGCTGAGCATGCCCCTCCCCGCAGTGCTCGTGGACCGCATCCCCTGGGTGGCCCCCGAGTGCGTCCGCGACCCCAAGGCCCTGGCGCTCGAGGCGGACAGGTGGAGCTTCGGCGCGACGCTCTGGGAGATCTTCAGCAGCGGCGCCGTGCCCCTGAGTGCGCTGGAGCCCTCCAAGGTGAGCCGGGCCCGCTGGGGCGCCCCCCTTCCAGCCTGGAAGCAAGGCGGCCGCGGCCCACGGTGGCGCCTGGAAGCGAGGGGCCCGTGCAGACCCCGCGGCCCCTCACGGCCCCCGCTTCTCCACCCATATGCTGGATTTCTACCTGAGCGCCCTGCAGCTGCCCCCTCCCAAGTGGACGGAGCTGGCCAACCTGGTGGCCCAGTGCATGGACTACCAGCCCTGCGGGCGCCCCTCCTTCCGCGCCATCCTCCGGGACCTCAACAGCCTCATCACCTCGGGTGGGTGCCTGGCGGGGCAGGGGGCAGCATGCCAGGCCTCCTGGCCACGGGCTCCCCGGCAGGTGGGACAAGGCAGGGAGGTCCCGCGGGGGGGGCAGGGGCATTACAGGGTTAAGGGGATCTTGGCGGGTCCCGCGGGGGGTGCAGGGGCATTACAGGGTTAAGGGGATCTTGCCCGTACCCGGTGGTGGGGCTGCGGATGCCCTGGGGGGGGCTTGCACCGCGGACCCAGGCCCGCTGAGCTCTCTCCACGCCATGCTCAGACTACGAGCTGCTGTCGGACCTGTCGCCCAGCGACCCCCCAGCCAGGGACGGCTTCTGGGACTACGCCAACGCGCCCCTGTGCCAGGACCCCACGCTCTTCGAGGAGCGCCACCTCAAGTACATCTCTGTGCTGGGCAAGGTGAGCGGGGTCTCGCTGCCCCAGACCCCGCTCCCCTGGGCCCCCTCTGCACTGGCTCCTGGAGCTGGAAAGACCCCTCCTTGGCGCAGCTGGCAGAGCTGTACCCGGGGATGCGCTGCCAGGGCACCTGTGCCCAAGCTGGGGGGGCATTAGCACCTCTCTTGGCCCCTCTACCTGGGGGGTCACCCCTCCGCGACCCTCTGCCCTTATCCCCCCGAGCACCTGGCCTACCTGGCATCTCCCAGTGGGTGCGAGTCCGTCTCTGGGCTCCGCTCATCGGGCCGCGCTGCCGGTCACAGGGCAACTTCGGCAGCGTGGAGCTGTGCCGCTACGACCCGCTGGGCGACAGCACCGGGGAGCTGGTGGCCGTGAAGCGGCTGCAGCAGAGCTCGGCCGAGCAGCTGCGGGACTTCGAGAGGGAGATCGCCATCCTGCGCGCCCTGCACAACGACTTCATCGTCAAGTACCGCGGCGTCTGCTACAGCCGGGGTGAGCCGGGGCGCGGGGGGGGCAGAGCCCGAGCCGCGGCTCAGCTGCTCAGGATCTGGCCCCGGCAGCTGCAGCTGAGCCCCCCGTGCCCACAGGGCGCCGGAGCCTGCGGCTGGTGATGGAGTACCTGCCCAACGGGTGCCTCCGGGACTTCCTGCAGAAGAACCAGGCGCGCCTGGACCACCGCAAGCTGCTGCTCTACGCGCTGCAGATCTGCAAGGTGCAGGCCGGCTTGAGAGGGGGGCACTGCCAGGGGAGGGCATGGCGCTGGGGACCCCACAATCCCAGGGGAGCCCCCCTCACAGCAGCCCCCAGCAGCAGAGGGCAGAAGGGTCCCAGCCCCTGCAAAGCCCACATCGCGCCAGGCTGAATTCACTCGTCCCCCCAAGCTGGGACCTGTCCCCTGCTGCCCCACATTGCTCCTTGGCAGCGATGGGCCCATCCCTGTGCAGCAGGGGAGGAAACTGAGGCACAGCAGCGGAGGGAGTGAAACCCAGGAGTCCGGGTCCAGATGCCCAGGGCTGGCGGGGGAGGGCAGCGAGAGGCTTTCCTGGGACCAGGGGAGGGGGACGGGCCCCCCCACAACCCTGCAATGCCAGCTGGAGTTTGCGGGCATCTCTGGCAGGGCATGGAGTACCTGGGCGCCCAGCGCTGCGTGAACCGGGACCTGGCCAGCCGCAACATCCTGGTGGAGAACGAGAGCCACGTGAAGATCGGGGACTTCGGCCTGGCCAAGCTGCTGCCCCAGGGCAAGGAGTACTACGTCGTGCGTGAGCCGGGGCAGAGCCCCATCTTCTGGTAAGGTGCCCGTGTCCCTGGGGCAGTCCTGGGTGCCGGGGTGAAGCCCGGCCTGCAAGGCAGCCAGGATGGCTGGGGTCTCTGCCACAGATGCACCGAGTGGCCTCGGCCTGGTCTCTTTCTCTGTCCGTGCCTCAGTTTCCCTAGCTGACTCCATGCTGCAGGGAGCCAAATGTGGTTACACCTGGCACTGGCGGGGGCAGGGTGGCACTGCCCCAGCCACAGGCATGCAGTTAGCTCAGGCAGCGCCCCAGCCTCTCCCTCGTGTCCAGCAACATAGCGGGCAGGCGGGCGGGCAGGCCAGAGACTCCCCGTCTCCACTCCGCCGGTCAGCCTACCCCCTCGCCCCATGCTGGCAAGGCATCCACCCCTGGGGGAAACTGAGTCACAAAGAGGAAAGGGGCCAGCCCAGCGCCATGCAGGGAGTGTGCTGCATGCTGCGGTCTCTGCCGGGGCTCACCCAAAGGTGGCGGATGGAGATCTCCAGGGCTGAGGTCTCCGCTATGGACCGCTGGCCAGGGATGGGGGGACAGGAGGGCGCCCGTGATGGAGCGTGTCTGGCTGTGCCTGCCCTTCCCCCTCCTTCCCAGGGGACCCCCCCCCATCTCCCTGGGCTCCCCCAGGCTGCCCAGACACCCCCCGCCCCCCCCGCAGGTACGCACCCGAGTCGCTGGCTGACAACGTGTTCTCCCGCGAGTCCGACGTCTGGAGCTTCGGCGTCGTCCTCTACGAGCTCTTCACCTTCAGCAGCAAGAGCCGGAGCCCCTCGGAGGTGAGCGTGGGGCAGGGGAACAGCCGTGCCCTGGCTCATAGAGGGGGGCGACCCCTGGCCCGATGCTCATGGCCCCCCCACCGCCCGCAGGAATTCCTCCGCATGATGGGGCCGGACAAGCCCCCGCAGATCATCTGCCCCCTGCTCGAGCTCCTGAAGGACGACAAGCGGCTCCCGGCGCCCGCCAGCTGCCCCACCGAGGTAGGGGCCTGCCTTGCCCTGCCCCAGCCCCCTCTCTCCCTCCCTCCCAGCGCTGACCCCTTCTCCTTCCAGGTGCACGCCCTCATGCTGAGCTGCTGGACCTTCACCCCCGGCAAGCGGCCCACGTTTGGGGAGCTGGCAGCCAGGATCGAGGCGCTGCAGGACAGCCGCAGCAAAGTCCGGGGGTAGCACCCGAGGCTGGCGCCCGCCCCGCAGACAGCGCTGGAGTGGGCACCGCCTGGGACCCCCCGCCACCAGAAGCAGCAGGCTCTGCCCAAGGTCCCCGTGGCCACCGCAAGCTTAGTGCTAGGACGACGATGCTGCTCGGTGCCAAGGATGTGCGGGCAGCTTGCAGCGTGCCCTCAAGGACCTCTCTGCTCCCCTCTGGGCTCCGTGGGCCCTGCCAGGCTGCCCCCCGTGCCAGCACAATTGGACGCCTGGCTGCAGAGCAGTGATTGCCCTGGGGCAGGGCTGGGCACAGGGGCAGTGATGCCACCCTCCCGCACCCCATGGGGACCAGCTACCTGGCAAGAGCCCCTGCTGCCCCCACGGCTCAGCCTGGCTCCTCAGCCGCGACTCACCTGGCCCAGACCAGGCTGCGCCCAGCGGCACTGCTGCCCCAGAGCATTGGGTGTGAGGGGCTGGCAGCGCGAAGGATGCCCTGTGGTTTCCCAGGTCCTGCGACGCCCGGTCCCCAGGTCTGGTCCACACCGAGAAGAGACCCTGGGGCCGCGGGGCCTGGACAGCCCTGGCTTGTTTGGGCAGCACTGTGCCCCCACTGCTCCCCTGGCCCCCCTCCATCGCCATTTGCCAGCCAGGACCTGCTGGTTGAGGTCTCTCTAGTGGCTTTTTAACCCCCTATTTTTCCTTGGGGCGCGGGGGGTGTTTGGAAACCAGCCCCCCTTGCCTATACCGGGGCTTCCCAGAGCCTGCAGAGGGGCTGAGCTGGGTGGCAAAGGCCCCAGCCAGGCAAGCTGCCGGCAGGACACGCTCTGCGCTTGCTTGTGCCCGGTACAGACCGCAAAAGGCATCGCCTTGACATTAAAACCCTGGAAAGATCAGAGTCTCTTGGGCTTTCGGGCTCTTTGTTGCCAAGGGCTGGGTCGTCCCCCCGCAAAACCCCGCAGGACACAGTCCCCTCATGCCATGGGCCAGGCAAGCTCCGGCGCCAAAGGCACAGGGTCTTTCAAACAACCAAGTGATTGGGTCTGAGAGGCGGCAGTGCACAGCCTCGGGGAGGGCGGGTCTGCCGGACCCCCAAACCAGGCGCATGCCGGAGAAGGGAGGGGCAGCGCATTGCCAAAGACACTGGCGAGACTCGGTGCGGGGCAGCGGGGCTGTTTATTGCAAGCAGTCGCCGTACAGTCGCGTTCGAGCTCGTGGGGGCAGCCACCGGCATGCGTGGCACCAGCCCGGGGACATGGACTTGGGTGCCGGGGTGCTGCGGGCGGTTCCCCAGTTGGACATGCCAACCGAGGCTTTGCTTAATCCTGTGACTCAGGGAGCTGGGGCTTTATGCAAGACAAGGAGGGAGGCGAGCCCAGCTGCTGTGCCCACAGCACCAGACCGCGAGCGGGGCAAGCGGCTGCGCGGCTCCTCCTGGGCCCCCGAGTCCCATGGGCACCGCCGGGGCTTTGCTGCGCAGCGCGGGGGCGTCTGGCATCGCAGCGACTAGCAGAACCGCGTCATCTGCCGCCAGGTGCAGCCCCGGGTGCAGCACCCGCCGGCGAGGCCCAGGCCGCCGGGGACTCGTGTCATGGCCCCCAGAGGCTCCTCGGGACTGGCCTTGTCCACCGGGGTGGGGGGGCGCGCGCCAGGCTCTCTGGACACGCCGCCGTCCAGCCAGTCCAGCAGTTCGGCTGCAAGGGGGAGAGAGGGGGTCAGCCACCGGCAGCTCCCCGCCAGCCCTCGATCCCCTCCCGGTCTTCCTGCAGCTCCCCGCACACAGGGACACTGCCCCGGGCTGGCTCAGCCCCGCATCGTGTGACCCAGGGCTGAATCCCCCCTGCCCTGCGCTGTGTGAGCGCTCCACCCTGCCAGGAGGAAGTTCCCCATTTCTGGGCTGGGCAACAATACCTGACACGGGGAAAATACCTTTAGTCAGCAGGGTGGTGCTGGGCTTTTGTGATTCAACTCCCCCAACCCTGAAAGTTTCCTGCTAGAAAGAAGCAGCATCCTTGTGCCCGCTGGGCCCTGCCCGGGGCCTGGGTGTGCTGGAGAACAAATAGGTGCTGCAACCCACACAGGACCCCCACCACACACACACACTTTGCATTTCTTCCTTGTCCTAAAGCCAAAGGGATCAGCTTGAGGGTGCCACCGGGTTTTTGCCCTGGCCCTTTTGTGCCAGCAGACTGGCATGGGGAGAACAGGGAAGTGCCGGAGGGACAAAGCGCCCCTGTGGCTCCATCGCTCTGCACCCGCCAGAGGAAGCATGCATGGGAGCTGGGCGCCCCCAAACCTATTCGTTCAGTGCCTCAGCCCCCCGGGGTCCGCGCTGCCCTCTGCCACCCAGGCCCTTTGCTCCCACCCCACCCAGCCCAGCCTAGCTGGGAGATGCCAGGCACACTCCCAAGTGGCAGCTGAGTGTCTGCGTCTTCCTGTCTTCGCGCGTCAGAGGCACTTGCAAATATTAGCTTTTCGGATGCCAGGCCCAGCACTGACCTCCCCACCCATGGGAAGCAGCAGCCTGGGGCAAATTGCACCTGCTGAGAGGTGATGAGAGCCCAGTGGGCACGTTTCCAGCACCGACACCTGCTCTCACCCCTGGGAGGGAAAGGGCAGCTCCTTGCCCCACCGAGGAGGGCATGAGCCTGCTCCAGAAAGCGGCACAGGTGCCCCCACAAGCTGGCCCAAAACCTGCATTTATCCCAGCAGCTTGCATTGATGGCTGCGGCCCCAGGAAAACCCCTTGGCTGATATTCAGCACAGCCCAGCCCGCTCCTAGTCTTAAGCCATCTGGCCCAGATGCTGCCCGCAGGCAGCTGTGAGAGCAGGCTGGTTTCCCTGGCACTTGGGCCACGGAGAGCTGGCAGGTCTCTGCTCCCAGCCTGTGTGCCATCCTGGTCCCCATGGGATGGGAACGGGAAGGTCCCAGCTTTGCAGCGATGTGGATCCTCCCTGCGTAGCTCAGACGATGCCCGTGCCTCCAAGTACCCCAGCTCCCCGTCGGACATGCTACATCACGCACGGGTGTATCCCTGGCACCCCAGAGGACCCCCCCAATCTTAGCCCTTGCTTCGGCAGGACCAAGCAATGCCATGCATCCCTTTAGGACAGGAAGGGAAAGGGAGGATGCATCCCTCTGAAACCACAGCCCCCAGCAGACCCCGGCTCCCAGCCCCGGGGACGATGGAGCCCCGAGCTACTTACCGGAGGACGTGCCCTTCCAGGGGTAGCGCTTCCACCGGGACCCTCCGCAGGCGATGACGACGGCCCGGATGAACTCCCTGCCGCACAGCTTCACCACGCGGTCGTCCTGCTCCGGGGAGCCCACGCTGGGACTCGCCATCAGGGCAACGATGGCCAGAGCCACCCAGCAGCGCATGGCTCAGGGCTGACCAGGGCACCGCGACCAGGGGCAGCTCCGCCGGGGTCCGAACCCCTGTCCCTGCAGCTCTGAGCTTCCCTGCAAGGCTCGCTGCCTGCCCATCCCTGCCGGCCGCTCTTATCCCCTCTCTGGGAGGTGCAGCCGAGGCAGCCTTGGCCCCGGGCACGCCACCGGGACGTTGCTCTGCTCCCCAAGGCAATGGGGGCAGGCTGGGGCCGCAGGGTCTGAGCAAGGGCACGGGGTGAGACTGCCTGTTCCCGGTGGCTTCCTGGCTGCAACACCACCCTGCGCACAGCCGCACGGCTCCAAGTCCTTGGGGCTGGTGCAACCGCTTCCCTCCGACAGCCTCTCCCTTGGTCCCTCCTCCAGCTGCACCCCCCTTCCCAGGCCTGTCCATCCCGGGCCCCAGGGGTCTGGTGCTGTGTTGCCCGGACCCCCCACCCATACCAAAGGGTCCCATCTGGGCTGCGAATCTGCCAACTTGCTTTGCCTTTGCAAGCACCCGCAACCCTGCTCCAAGGGCTATCGCCCGGCCTTGTGCTTCACGCCACATCCCGTCCCAGCTCACGGCCGGCCCTTGCAGATGGGACCTTCCTCCGGGCTGACCCCGGGCTCCGCGCCAAGCCCAGGCCCCGCGGATTGCTGCCTGGAGGTGTTGGGAGCAAACAGGGATAGGGACAATGCAGGGACCTCTGAACACGCCGTGCAGGTGTGGGGACCAGAGCCCCCAAATTCCCAGGCTGGGGCGTGGACAGCTGCAATTGCCGCTGGGATACGTCTCCTTTGCAGGCAGGATGGGCAAGCAGTGAGCAAGGAGCACGGCCAAGCAAAGCGCTCCAAATGCCTTCCCTTCACCCGCCCCCTAGCCAGGAGGAAGCCAAGCTTGGAGATGCCCGTTACCCAAATAAGTCCTTTATTGCTATATATATCATTCACAGTGGCCAGACACGGCACAAAGGCACGGGGGCTGCTGGGCAAGTGCAAACGCCTGCCCGCGCTGGGGACGCGCGGGAACGGGCTCCAAGGTGCGGCAGTCGGCGTTCCTGAGCTGAGCTGGCGTGGCGAGCGGGGGGCAGGTTGAGCAGCTGCCTGGCCACTGAGTCCCGAGGCAGCTCAGGTGGGGTGGGGGGGCACAAAAATCACCCTCGAGTACAGCAAGGACAAGCCTGGGGGCTCAGAGAGCAGGTGCCAGCTCAGAGGAGGGGCTGAAAGCTGTGTGGGGCCTGCCCCAAAGCCGTGGGAGTTCCCCCAGGGCGCAAGGCAGGGGAGGACGTCAAGGGACCCAGGTCCAGCAAACATGCCCCACACCCCAGAAGCTTTCTGCACGTGGGTTTTAGGGGCAGAGGCTTGCCCGGACTCTGGAAAGGCCACGTGGGGCAGAGCCGCGCGGCTGCTTGGGGCCAGCGTGGTCCCAGCACGGGGCCGGGACCAGCTTCCACCCAGCTGCCCCCTCCCCTGGGAGTCCTGGGGACCCCCTCAGTCATTGCGATAGACCTCCAGCTTCTTCCCACATTTCAGGCCCGGCTGGTGGAGGGCTCGCCACATGACCAGTATCTCGTAGGGCAGGAACCGGTGCACGAGCAGCAGCTCCTTGTAGTAGCAAGGGTCAAAGGCAGCCAGCTTGGCCGAGGGCAGGTGGAAGCCCACCGTCCGGATGCCCATGTGCGAGGCCGGGACCAGCCCTGCCTTCTCCAGGCACATGCCCAGGTAGACATCGTCGATGGGGAAGATCTCGATGTTCAGGGACTCGCGGTAGATGGCGTGGGTGGTGAAGCCGGACATGACCAGCCCTCCACCCCCGCAGTAGGGCGGGTAGAGCTTGGCGGCCGTGACCTGCTCGGGCACGTAGTACTTGCTCCACTTCTCGCGGACGGGGCCGACATTGGTGATGAGCTGCCCCACGAAGAGGTGGCGCTCGCTGCCCTCGTCCCCCATGCCCTGCAGGTAGTGCACGATGTTGTCGGTGTGCACGAAGACGTCGTCGTCCCCGTTGAAGACGAAGCGGACGCCGGGGCAGCGGGCCTCCAGCCAGGTGTGGAACAGCACCTGCTTGAGCGTCAGGTTGAAGAAGCTGTCCACGAAGCCCCACTGCAGCACGTCCCCGTGCTCCGCCGCCTCCAGCTGCAGCAGCTGGTCCAGCTTCCAGGCTTCGCGGGCGGACGAGGCCGTGCCGACCAGGAAGACGCGGCGGATGCGGGCGCCCGCGTACGTCCGCTCCTCGCCCCAGGTCTTGCGGATGATCTCGCGCCGCTCGTAGTTCATGGGGGCCGATTTGATGGCCAGGATCAGGAAGACGTCCCTGGATGCCTCGGGCCCCCCGCACTTGCCAGGGACATCCAGGAGCTGCGGGAACTCGCGGCAGTGCTTGTAGCGCAGGAAGTCCTGCACGTGGGCCGGCAGGCCGGCGAAGCCAGAGAGGTTGGCCACGGAGGTGTTCTCCCGGCAGACCGGCATGGGGCGCGGGGTCACGAGGCTGGGCGTGGGGCTCGGCTGGGTGCTGGGCGTCACGGTGGGCTCCCCGGCCTGCTGCGGCATGAAGCTGTCACCGGTGGTTCGCAGGAGGAACAGCAGCGCGGCGGTCCCAATGGAGACCAGGACCACGGCTTCCAGCTTCTGGCACCCACGGGGCATCGTCTTCTGCAAGACAGGCCCAGATGGGCTGAGGAGCTGCACGCGGCCGCCACGCCAGCCCCCTCCGCCTCATCCCCGCAGGCACCGGATACCTACAGGCTTCTCTGCATCCAGCCCCCCACCCCTTTGTTGGCTTCTTAAGTCACAGCCCCAAAGTTTGGCCCCAAACCAGGCTCTTGGGGGCTGTGGGGCGCCCACAGGCAGACCCAACTGGGCTCCAAGTAGCTCAGGATCAGGCCATCCTGGGCAGGTTGGGACCCCTCCCTGGGGGTCAGCAGGGGACGCTCGAAGGTGGCACCGGAGGCAGAGGGAGACGGGCCCGGGCGCTAGTAGGTCTTTGCTGGGGAAAGCACCGTGGGACAGAAAAGCACCAGCAAGGCAGGTGTCTCCGGGCAAGGCTGGGAGACAGAGAGGTTGGGCTGGGTTGGGCAAAAGATCAGAGGGAGAGGACTGAAGTTCTGGGGAAAAGACAAAAATAGCTCCTAGCAGCACCTGCCCAACTTCCTTGGGGCCAAGGACAATGCCACGTCACTCATGCCAGTGACGCCTCCGCCTCGGGGCCTCTGCACCAACCCTCCCCGTCGCCCCGGGGCAGACACCGTCCTCTGCCAACGACCTTCATCTCCTAGCAAGAAGATACCCCATCCCAAGCCAGGCCTCCCCACTGAGAGCTGGAGGGGGAAACCCTGGGGGTCAGCTCCCAGTTCTGCTCCTGTGTGTGTGTGGGGGCGGGGGGGCTATTAGCTTGCGGGAGCCCCAGGAGACCCGCTCGCTGGCAGGCCCCAGGAGATCAGGCTCTGGAGAACCCAGGTAGGTGCCAACAGCTCTCTGGATGGCTTTGCACCTTGCTCTCCTGCCCTACCCACCCCGAACGGCTGGATGTGGGGCATAGGAGGAAGCCTCTCTCCAGGCATTCAAATCTGGTGGGTTGCTGCCACCGCCCCAGCCTGGCCATGGGCTACACCCCAGTCCTAGCCTTTCCCCCAGACCCTGCCCCTTCACCACCCCCTCAGCCCCTGAGCACCCAAACCTCGCTGTAATCGCACCCCACCCCGGCCCCGTCACCCACAACCCCCCTCACATCCCATTTCAGCCCCACGGGCATAATGCCCCAGACTCCCATTAGCCCCTTAATGCCCGTGACCCCCCATCCAGCCTCTCACAGCCCCCCAGGACGCTCCCAAAGAGGGTCCCCCCCCAGCCCCAACCCCAACCCCAGCCCAGGCTGTAGCTGTGCCCGTAGCCGACTTCCACCCTCGCCGTACAAAAACCAAGATCCCGGGGCTGGGGGGGGGACTTGCTGCAGCCACTGGCAGTGCCACTCCCTGGGGAGAAATACCCTCCTGGATCTGCTTTGCCCGGTGTCCTTGAGCAGCTTCCAGCACCTGCTGCAACCAATAACCCAGGTTAGGCTATTCCTGTTGCAGGGACCTACCTCTTCACCTCACCTTTCCAGCTCCTTCCTGCCACTGAGGGCTGCAACACTTTGCAGCTCAACCCTGTCCCAACCTGGCCCCTCCCTGCCCGGCTCTGATTTGTTGTGGGTTCAAATCCTTTAGAGACAAAGCCACTCAGGACAGGTTTCTAGGTTGGTACAGGGCTGCGTTACCAGGAGTAGATGGCAGATGGGATTATTGCGGAAGAAACGAGAACTGGAGAAAGAGAGATCTGGGGTGACTAATACTAACGGGGTGAAGAGATCA